ATAAAGAATAAAGTAAAGGCAAAATCTTGATCTTTATTTTATAAAGAATAAAGATTTTCTTTATTTTTTCTTCTTTATTTTTAAAGTAAAGATAAAGTAACACCCCTAATATCAAGAGACTTCTGCCAAGGGGGTAAGAGCGGAATCTAGAATTCTCAGGAATCTTCGGAATCCTAAATTGTAGAATTTGATGTTCTTTACAAATTTTCAAAAATCTCTTATGGAATCCAAGGGAATTTCGATTCTGCTCTTTCCCCTTTGATAGATTCAATACGATTTTTCGTAATTTATCTGATTTTATATTAATATTATATTAATACAGAGTTGTTCAGCATGTTCGAGACACTCTTTCTGGATATTAAAGATAACGAGACTTGCATGAGATGCCTAATTCGACTTATATTACAAGTAACGCTCATCCTATGGATTCGCCGACCCTTTTCTGAAAGAATTGTTCTACTGCTGAGCGTATTCAGATACAGTGAAAAACAAATAGGGCACTGCGGTTATCACTGGCCCTCACCTAGATCTCGGCATTATGTCCCACGCAAGCATTAATACAAGATAAAGATTCTTCTTTTTCGATGAACCGAACCAATTACCCATTTGTAAGGGAATAGTTTCCAGAGATTGGCGTGAGCGTCCCGCGCTGTCCCGCGCCTACGCTTACGCCTATGCTCCCGCCTATGCGCAGGACAGCGCGGGACGGGACGCTCACGCCGATCACTGATAGTTTCCAAGTACTAGCTATGTTTACTAAAAACCTTGCCGCTTATTGGTTAGTCATTCGCAGGCCTCCCTCCGGCCAGCCACGCACGGATACCTATTAATCTTTATAATCTGCTTTTTGCTTTCACAAAAAATGACACTGTTTTGAATACTTTTATTAGGAACATTTGTGAAACCCCTTTTAAAAGTATTTCTTCAAGTTTGAGAAGGTTGTTCCAGATGTATGATCTGAAGTTAATCGGGAATGCTAACGCCTAGTCGTTGTCTTGGCTATTTCTACTATGCCTTTCAGCTTTCATTAATTTTCAAAGTGAATGACTACGTTTCCTTACATTCTTGCTTTTAAAGTAGTGACTTGACATGCATTCAATTGCTGAAAGAAAATAGATAGAAAGTTTTATTCTATGATTTGGCATGAAAAGAGCATGCATCATATTGCTTTATATGTTTGGAATACTATTTCTCTAGCAGTTGTCTCGATAGTTAATGAGCTGGAGCTACACTAACGAGCATACCTTTTGGAGACCTATTTCCCCTAAAATCGTATCGAAAGACGAGACTTATCGCAGCTCACAAGACCAATATGGCGTGAAGTATATAGTACTTTGTCTGATTTCTTCAATTGCAAATACCATAATGCAACATATACTAAACCATTTTTTGTACAGGCCTAAACCATTATCTTCGCACACGTCGTGTTTAGAAATGGCGTGTCGTCTACTAGGTTCTACTCAAGAATTTAGAAAAGATACAGGAAAATATCTGTTCTAGAAAGAAAAAGGTGTCGTAAGCATCTTGGTGAGTAACGAAAAACTAACCTCAAAGTTGAGTTCTTTGACATCGATAACTTTTCGGTCAGCCCTCACTACACAACCGAAAAATTTTTCGCTACTTATTTTTAATTAGCTAATTAGCGAATTGAAATTTCGAGAAACTAATCTCAGATTTGAGATTCTTGACCTCGATTACCTTGCAACAATCACTTGGTAAAGAACATCATTAAGTTTTCATTCATTTATGAAATACTGCAATCTGACTGGCTTGGACAAACAAACAAACTTTAACCAGTTTTAACGCGGCTATAACCCTTTCTTTCAGAAAAGGGAATAAGTCAACCCCCGACAGGCTAATACCAATTCGAATATAATTATATGTCTATGTCAGTCTTATAAAAAAACGATTAGATAGGAATAGAAATAGATTTAGTTTGACTTATACCTATGCTCTCACACCCACACTCTCATATCTCGACTGAGGGTGCCGCGGTGGGTGTTTACACGCATATACCTTGAGGGCATGGGTGTGAGGGTCTATGGATATAAGCGAAACTAAATCTATTCCTATTCCTATGTAGATAGGGATTGTAGTGTGCTAGGAATTGGCCACTTATATTATAAGTCGAATTAGGCAGCTACTCTCAAAACCGGTAGTCGAACACGGTTACCTCATTTCTCCATCGAATTCTTGGCAAGTTTTCTCAGGGATTTCGTCGGAAATCCATGAAATCCTGCTTCAGGAACCATCGTGCTGAGATATAGATTAAAAAAACAGATTACTTAATTTAATACAAATCACGTAGAATTCGCTGATTCTTACTTTCCTAAATATGGATGAATATTCTTCTGTCCTAGGTACTTATCGTCTTCAACTGAGATTATTATTATAAAAACAATCTTGTCTATAACGGTATCGTTCTATCAGCTCTATATATTTTCCCTTCCCTCTCTTGATTCCTGCTAAAGAATCATATCCATCATATTACTTTCGTTCTGTTTCTTCTACTTGGTTTTTCCCCATACATTCACTGGGAATTGCTCTCTTCGTCTGATATCCTTTCAAGTACATGACCTATTTATTGCGCTTTTATCTTGTCGTCTGTATTTTCCTTCCTTTCCCGTTATTTATACGAATAAAAGCTTTTTTTTATCTCATTCTTCTATACAATATGAAACCGGATCACCTCATCTGCTGATCTAAATTCATCACATATATCCCAGCGTATTTTTATTTTTCTTTCCTTCTCTATTAGATTTGTTTCTTTTTCTACGCAGAAAAGACGTACGTCATGTGTTCTTTTTTTTCTCTCGTGCAGTTTATATATAACAACGATACTATCCATGCTCGTTAAGATTGATTCTCGAATAAATAAGAGTCTATGGTCTTTTATATTTCAAATTGAATTTGAGAAAAGAAACTAGCTTTCTCTTATCCAAAAAGGAGTGAGGTTACGGGTATAGGAAAATGATGCCTTCCATTAGATGAGGATAACTTGTTGAGTAGTGTAGAAATCGTTAACTCGATTCGAGTATTATAACTTTCGTTCGAATTCTGTTTTTTTTTTCAGTTTAGAATTCGAGTACTCAAGTTTTAAACTCTTCAACTTCCAGCCACAACATCACTCACACTCTCACCCACACCCTCACCCTCAAGCCCGCGCGAACCTGAATCGATAATTAGAGTTAACAACTCAATAGATAAAGAACAGATATTTCAACTTTTAGATGTATCTATGAATGATATCCTCTTGAAAGTTCAGTTTTGAAGATTTTTGTTGTTGCCTAAAGCAATAGAGACTAAATATTTTCCTAACTAGAGCGAAATGGAGTCTCGGAAATTTTAGTTTCGATGCAGCTAATAGCGACCCATCTGTACCAAAGCTTCGCATCTTCATCTCGCTCTAGTTAGGAAAATATTTAGTCTCTATTGCTTTAGGCAACAACAAAAATCTTCAAAACTGAACTTTCAAGAGGATATCATTCATAGATACATCTAAAAGTTGAAATATCTGTTCTTTATCTATTGAGTTGTTAACTCTAATTATCGATTCAGGTTCCCGCGGGCTTTCATTGGATACTCGACTTGATACTATAGTGGTCACGCCCTGGAAAAAGTTTAGGGATGCATCAGTTCCAGTCAGATTGGACACCCAGTCCTTCTGAGATACCAGTCTAACTGGGTACCTGCCATGACTGGTACCCAGTCCGATCAGTTTCCAGTTGACTGGTGCATCCCTGGGAAAAAGATTATCTCCAACTCTGTAGATAATAAATAAAATTAGTTGTTATCAAGTCGAGTATCCAATGAAAGCCCGCGGGAACCTGAATCGATAATTAGAGTTAACAACTCAATAGATAAAGAACAGATATTTCAACTTTTAGATGTATCTATGAATGATATCCTCTTGAAAGTTCAGTTTTGAAGATTTTTGTTGTTGCCTAAAGCAATAGAGACTAAATATTTTCCTAACTAGAGCGAAATGGAGTCTCGGAAATTTTAGTTTCGATGCAGCTAATAGCGACCCATCTGTACCAAAGCTTCGCATCTTCATCTCGCTCTAGTTAGGAAAATATTTAGTCTCTATTGCTTTAGGCAACAACAAAAATCTTCAAAACTGAACTTTCAAGAGGATATCATTCATAGATACATCTAAAAGTTGAAATATCTGTTCTTTATCTATTGAGTTGTTAACTCTAATTATCGATTCAGGTTCCCGCGGGCTTTCATTGGATACTCGACTTGATACTATAGTGGTCACGCCCTGGAAAAAGTTTAGGGATGCATCAGTTCCAGTCAGATTGGACACCCAGTCCTTCTGAGATACCAGTCTAACTGGGTACCTGCCATGACTGGTACCCAGTCCGATCAGTTTCCAGTTGACTGGTGCATCCCTGGGAAAAAGATTATCTCCAACTCTGTAGATAATAAATAAAATTAGTTGTTATCCTAGTTTTCTAGCGTATTCACTGATTCATCAGTAGTCGGTAATCGTCTCTATTGCATTCCTAGTTTAGATAGCAATGAACATTTATGTTTATTTTATCACTTAAATCAATAATTTCATCTGAATAGTCTTGAAATGATTAAAAATTCTTATTTATTCTGTTTGAAGATTAATGATCGATATAGGAATAGGGATTTGTTGCTGTTCAATCCTCTTTAGTTTCTTTGCAATTATATATCATTGTAAATTTGGATCTAAACGTGATGGAATAGAAGGGTTACCTGCCATCTTCTCTTTACTTATTTTGATTCTTCTGTTCAATTTAATAGAATGGTCAATAGCTGTAAATTTCTTCACATATTGGAGTGTTTACTTTGTTATAAGTATTGGATTATATGTACTTTACATTTTCAGGCGGTTTTTATTTGGAACATGTTTACTAGTGATAATCGTCTTTTTCGGCGTGCTCATATATATTGTACGCCTTAAATTGAATGAACATAATCCTGCAATTACAATAGGTTCAATCTTCTATTTTCCTCTATTACTTATGTTATCATACTTATCAGATGACAATTTCAGATCTGGTTGGAATATATTGCTTTATTTGTCTCTTTTATTGCCGACTGTCCATTTTTGGTCCGGTTGGATTTGGTATTTTACAAATTTTACTTGGTGCAAAGAGACCAGTCATTTACGTTTTGTATTAATACAAGCGGGCGATATGTTTGTCACTTTAGTTGCATTTACCATCTTAGCAAAGAATACAATCAGATTCAAGCTGTTTCGTATCAAAGTTTCAGGTAATCAAGTAACGGAATGTTTCATTCTTTTATGCACATGGTTCACAATAACTTCAATGTTATCAGGTATAACAGGAGGAATAATTTTTTATTTTGAAAACTCAGTTTCATATGATCGATATCAATGGATTGCACCACCACGTTATTTAACACCAAAAGATGAAGCAACATTTGAAGAAATTCTAGCAACAGAAGTTTATATGTCGAAATGTGGTCAATATCCCAATGTAACAGAAACTCTTTTGAAACTTATCGAGAAATATCAATCAAACAGTCAATTTCTTTCAAAAGAATATCCAGGTACTTTTAAACAATATAGAAATACACTTGGCAAATTACATCTTGCACATGGTTTATATTTGTATTATCATGGAAAATATAAGGAAGCTATCGTTAGTTTTAATAGTTCAATCACACCAAATCAATTTGAACTTCACAATAAATATTATCTTATATGTGCACGAAATATACTTGGCGAATATTCACAAGAAGATTTAAATCTTCAAAAGAAAGAATTTCTTCAAGAGATGCGGTTAGCTTTAGTAGAAGATAATGAAGTGCCTAGAAATGAAACATACAAAAATTGTGAGATGCGATGGCTTCCTTTTCTAATGATTGATTATCTCGATATGTTAGAGCCGATTTCTAATGAACAAATCTCCCAAAAAGATGAACAAACTAGAGAAATATCATCTTCAGGATTATTTATGGATATTTGGCCAACTCATTTAGAATTTGCTGAATTAAGTAGTGTTACATATTGTAAAAGTCGTTTATCTCAACTTTCTTCTTGGTTATTTATTGCTGAATTTGATGATAATACAGATAACACTGGTTACTATGGTATAGCAGTACGGCATAACCGAACAAATGAAGTAGTAATTGCTCACCGAGGGACGACTTTTGATATTAATACTGCTTCACTTCTTGCTGACTATCAACTATTTCTTCGTAAAACTCCCGAACAATTTCGTATAGCACGACAATTTACAAACGAAATTCGCAATCGAAATGAACTAGGTCGATCAGGTATTGTATGGCATACTGGTCATTCACTAGGTGGAGCTATTGCCGAATTTCTTGTTGCTAATGAAACATTATCCAAGCAGCAAACTCTTTCATTTGCTGTCACGTTCGACAGTCCTGGTATACTGGAAATTATTGAAGAATATCACTATCGTTCAGAGACACCAGAAAATCTGCCAAAACCAAATGAATTTTTTGTGATCGGTTATTTATCTGTGCCAAATGTAGTCAATACAATGGGCACACATATTGGTCTTACTCTTCGTCTATCTCCACTTCCACGTTTAGTATCATTTCCTGTACTTGCAGAACTCGGTTATGATATATTTATTTCAAAAATGATATCTAATCATCTTAAACCAGTTATTGATCTATTAGCGAGCGAGGCAAATAAACAATTACATTGGCATAGTATACAAACAATAATCAATTCGTTTAAAATCCCACCAAATAAAAATGGTCTTCCAAGAATTATGAAACCGGTTCTTCAATGGCCAAAAGGTTTTCAACAATTTAATTGTTTTCTCAATTTAGCTTCTGAACATAATTTAACAACATTAGACATCACGAAATACGGGAATAATAGTGAAGTTTTAAATGATTTTAAACGATGTAATTACCATGTAATTGATAATTATGGATATTCCCACTTTCCACTACCATTACAAATATGGAATAAGAAAATACAAAATTTCTTTAAAAAAATTATCGATATCCATAACGATCCAAAGCGAAAGTATGTAAGCGTTCGATTGAATCCTAATTGTGAATTAATTAAATTCGTAAATGGTAATGCTACACAACTTATTCTAAATGCTCTTCATGCGAAAACCAACGATCTTTATCCAAACATGAAAATGATCACTCTTGACACATCATTAATATTAATTAACAATGAACAAATACATAGTACCGATATTATTAATATATCCATTTTGTTTTCTCTTGTTAACTTAGATAATTGTATTCTATAATCTCATCTATTTTGATTATTCTTATCTTAATTTATCGCTTTTTGTTCGCATGCAGCTTGAATAGTATATTACTCACTTTATCGAAACAAGTAACGTTGGTCATGACGACTCACTTCACCCTCGACTGTGTAATAAAAAACTAGTTTTCTCTCTCAATGGTAATACGAACTTCTAGGAGGAAACAATTCAAGTTTTGTCCACGTTTAGGTTATAACTTTCGAAACGAAATGCGACTCAATGACTCCTGTGTATCCACCGAATACGCTGCATGAGGGTCCATGAGTACCCTCAAAATGCGCCAGATAAAGTAAGGACCCATGGGTGGGACAATACTACGCCCCATGGGGATCCATCAGCATAGTCTCAGTCGGTAACACGAAGATTCTTGGATACCAGAAAAATGACGTATATAAGGACCTTGGGATGCAACGAAGTTGTGCGACTGGGTGACTCATGGGCACTGTCAAAGTGAGCCACATGAGAATTCATGGATACGCCCACAGTGTATTATATGGAGACCTCTGGACACCTGAAAAATGAGCAGCATAAGGGCCAGGGATGCCGCGAATTTACGCCACTCGAGGGCCCATGCGTGCTCCCAAAATTCGCCACACGAGAATCTATGAATACCGCTAAGATATACTAATTACATAGCATTTTATGGGTACGCCTACAGTAGGTTATAGGGGTACCCATGGACGGCGAGAAAATGATCTGGCCAAGGACCATGGATGCGGCAAATCTGCGCGACTCGAAGACCCATGCATACCCCTGAAATGCGCATTACGAGGACCTATGAATAGTACCACTTAAATGCGTAATATGTGCTTGACCTTTGACTCTGATACAAACATACATACAAATTATTTTATTTCATACATATGACTCTCCTTACAGTCGAAGGAATATATAGGACTCAGTTTTGTTTTCTCCTTAATACTCTTCACAAAAATTTGGTATATTCTTCAAAGTTATCATTAAAACTAATATTCTCTTTCTCGTAGAGAAGAGTCTTAGAAGCATAAATTGTTTGTTTGTTTGTTTGTTTGATTGCTTGCTTGTATGTTCGCACTTCACTGATTGGTCGAAAACTAAAATGTAGCCATTAAAAAACTATTCTCTTAAAAACTTGACCAAAGGATTTTTCGGGCCGAGGAACACGAATCTGATGCTAGTTTTTTTTTAATTTTTCACAAAAAAATCTTTCTCACAGGGGTTGAGGCAAGTGTTTTTTGTGTCGAGGGACTTAGATTTGGTGTTAGCGTTTTGAAAATTAAAAATTTCTTAAAACAATGGGTACCGATATTTGGAAAAATATATAACCATAGGATACCGGCTATAGTCAAGCGTTTTAGTATGATAAATAAAACACTGTGTTCGATGTCTAGTGACGTAATAATTAATAACTGGTCTTCATAATCGAACTTTGAAGTAACCTCAATATACCTGATAACAAGACTGAACTTCACTGACAAAAATTTTCGTAGAATGATAAACCCTCAAAAAAGGGTTTATAACTGAAAAGTTCGTTTATCAACGTGATCTACCCCTTAATCAACTCTTTTTTCTTGATAAACCTAAAAAAATGTATATTATCCGTTGCAAACTGATAAACCCAACAGTTTATTGTCTCGTGATAAACCCTTTTCCCGTTGATCAACTGAATCAACCCTCAAAATCAGAGTTTATCATCATTTCCAAGAAACCTTTCGATTAGAATTGATCCAGTTGATCAACGAGAAAAGGGTTTATCAAGAGACGATCAACTGTTGGGTTTATCAGTTTGCAACGGACAATATACCTTTTTGGGATTTATCAAGAAAAAAAGGTTGATCAAGGGGTAGATCACGTTGATAAACGAATTTTTCAGTTATAGACCCTCTTTTGAGGGTTTATTATTCTATGAAAATTTTTATCAGTGATTCTTCCTGGTCTTTTACCTTTGGTGCCAAACATGCCTGTGAACTAGGGCTTTCCAATGGTACTCAAGGAATTTTTCGAGAGCTCATATACGATGATCAGGAGGATCCGAGCGATTTAAAGATAAAAAGAGAAATATTTCCCTCAAGTACAATCTACATACGAAAACCATTGTATGCACTCGTAGAAATTAATGCATCACAAGTAGAAACAAATCTCGATGGTCTTCGTCCCAAACTAATTCCTATTCCATTAATCAAGAAGCAGTTCACTGTTCCTATAAAGCAACTTTTCGGACATCTGCTCGATCGAGTACAAAATGGGAGTAGAATTCCACAAGTCATTCAAGTCACGAACACAACTACCAACTGTACCTGCCTTCGCAATAACTACATAGAAAGCGCAAGGACTCACAATGAATAAAATTGTAGTCGATCTTCAGGTTCCACTTCAGACATTGCAAGTGGCGTTAGTATATGTACCACTCAGCAGAGTGAAGAGAGCGGAAGATATAGTCATTCTTCGACCTTCTCTTGTTCAAGACGCTGAACTGAAACGCCTAGATGAACTTGACAGAAAGACAAAGCGAGAATGTGCTTCTTTCATTTTGTAAATATGTGTAAATCCATACTTTGCTAAGAAGTCTAGTTCCCTTTCCCGAAAGAAAGGGTTATAGCCAGTGGCGTAACCAGGGGGGGGGGGGCAAATGGGCGATTGCCCATTTAAATTTGAGGTTTGCCCATTGTAATTTCGTATTGAGGAACCCTGCCCCTTGAAATTTTACTTTTGCAGAATGTCCC